CAAATAAAATACGGTCTTCAGGGGTATTTCTGGGCAAGGAAAGTTAAATCATTTGCATAATTTGTGTAATTTTTGATTTTGAAGGCTTTATGAATAAATACTTTGAGACTGCAGTATTTAGCTTTACCTTCAGCCTTTTTTTAAACAATCCTCAACCTGTGCTGGAACAAGAGGTCTGTTTTTCATTCTCCCAAGGTCTGTGGAAATCAGTTTGTTTGATTATGACATTGGACTGAATCATATTTATGTGTGCGAGTGTGTTTTTGTTTAGGTCTGCAAGGATTCGGTTCCTTTAACATGTACCTGGAATGTTCAATCCGGATAGAGGGCAGAAACACCAAACATGTGTCTCCGCGGCCTTGAGACTTCACAGGGCTCCGACTTAGTAAACAGCGCTTTTCCTCCTGTGGCTCTGTGTTTGGACAGGAAACAAGGAAGCTTGATCAAACGCGGGCTCAGAAGGCCACGGCTACACAGAGCTGGAAGGGAGTCGCAGGTCCTTCAAAGCGCTTTGAATAGGTGGAAGCGTGAAAAATAACATGTCACTTGTGTGTGCATATCTATCAGCTTGAGTCTCTCTTTTTATTGTAGAGCTATAATTCCCCCAAAAAATCAATCATGCCGTGAACTGAACTTATCTCTAACTTGTGTTTTTGTTTACACACGAGAGGAACCGGTGTCACAGACGGTCACTGTTACAGCAGATTTACAGCCCTGTCCCCGGTGACATCACAGATTAGCAGCAGCAGAGTGCAGATAGGAAGCATTATGTGGATGGATAGATGTTGGGGGAGGAAGGAGGGCGGGGAGGGGGAGTGAGAAGGGGAAGGAATAGTGGGAAATATAAGAGTTGGTGTGTGTTAAAGTCACTGGGGTTAAAAGGTTGGGAGTAAATGCTTCCCCCTGCTGACTGTTAGTAACACTGCAGAATATATTTGGGCTCATAAAAAATAAATTGGCATGAAGTGTTTTAAAGTTATGGAATTACAAATGTGTTGAAAAAGAAATGTGATCCAAAGTGAGCCAATAAAAATGCATGGTATAGCTATTAATAAGGATTTTTCAATAGAAATAAAGGCCTTCATTAGACTTCTATACGGTGGCTGGGAGGGGTCAGGCGATTGCATTTATCGATCAATCAATCAATTTTTATTTGTATAGCGTAAACTCATAAAAACTTACAAAAACACTTTGCAAACTCCACAACATGAATGCAAAAGAGCAGCAACATGTTTTGCTGCTCCTTTGCATTAGTGTTGCGAATTTTTGCATTTGTGTTGTGGAGTTTTGCAAAGCGTTTTTGTAAATGCATTCACCTGACACCTCCTAGCCACCGTACTAAGATCCCAATGTCAACAAAAGCTCTTTGCTAGGCTGGAACTGTTTAGTAAAATAGCATTATGAATAAATACTTGTTACATCATTTGAATTAGATTGCACTTTATTTTGAAGGTTTTAGTGTTTTGCACTTATTTTTACGGTGGACTGTTTTTTGCATCTGCTTGATCTAAAGAATAGCTTCTCAAAACTAATTAGCAATCCGATGTGCAGAGCCAAAATCTTAAACTCTAAGAGGCTATTTGCCTTGTCAGAGATGGGATTCAATACTTTGGGCTGTGTTGGAACAGGCTGCTTGAAGCTTTCTTTCTATTTCAATGTGACACTTTCCTTTTGTTTGAACTTTAAATTGTGACTTTGAAAACATCTCCTTTTGAATCCTCAAGGAAATAAGCCGAGAAGAAGAATAAATGCTGCCACTGTGTTGTGTTACTTTTAAAGTCAAAAAAATATACGCAGGAATTTAACATGTTTTAAATACTGTAATGTTTGTATTTAAAGTAGATATGACTGATAGAGGAAGGGTAAACAATTGCTATTGATTCACACACACCTAATTGGGAAATGAATGTTCACAATCTTGATAGTTTTATTAATTTTGCTTTTTTTTGCTTGTAGATTCTACTAGTTTTAAAAGTCTACACACTGCTATCAAGTTGGCAAAATCATTGTTTTATTTTTAGAATGAATATATAGAACCACTACCTGGTGTTTAAAGTCATATCTATTCACTTTTTAAGTAAAAGGTGCATGGTGAACAGTGTCAAATGCTTTCCAAATGTACCTGTTGCTTATTATCAACTAAGGCTGTATATATTCAGTAGTATTTAGTTTGTTCTAATACCACTATGTGAGAAGAGATTTGTTTTTTTTTACCGTATCCATACTAAGTATAAAATGTATGAATGTTTTTGAGTATTTGAGCTAGTTATGAGTAAATACCACACTAACTGAGACCTAAGTGCCCCGAGACCGAGACAAGACTGAGACATTTAGGGTTTGAGACGGAGTCAAGACCATAAATATCCCGGGATAAAAGTCAAATAATGAATTAATTAAAGTATTTTTTTCTTTTAGAAAGGGGCGTTTCCCTTAGTATCCAAAGAATGACCTGGAAAAATAGTCTATCATTGGTGGTCTTGACTGGTCAGAGATTCGGAGATGAGACCGAGGCCTTCAAAAAGTAGTCTCGAGACCAAGACCTACTTCGAATACTTAATCACTACTTTGAGGATTCTTATACACTGAGGTTTTAAAATTACAAAGCTTGAATTTAGAAGATACTTTGTCCCAGGATCACATGTTCTCAACAAAAGAGAAACGTAAGCCTCTTTCAGTTAAGACAGCATGATGCCAGTTTGTATGTAAAATGTCATAAAGGATGTTAAAGGCTCATGTCGGAGTCATCAGGACATTTGGGGACGTGCACATTTCATCATAACCTAGTGAAGATGTTTTTAACTCCAACCTCTTGAAGTAAGGACGATAAAAGTGACTAAAATATGGAAGAAACATTTTCTTTTATAATTTAATGGATATTGGTTGCATGAACTTTCCTTTTTTTGTTTTAGAGAGATGCACCACGACTTGAAAGGAAGTCATTGAACCTTCAACCTGTATCAGAAGGATGAATGAAAAGTGAAGCTTTCATCTGTACAGGTTTAATTAAACTTTTAAATGGCTTTGTAACTTTAAGCAGTTAATTGATGGTTGTCCATGTTGTCTTAACACCGCTTTCAGATTGTGTTAACAGGTCACTGAAGAATCTTTCCTCAGCTGCCCTGAGAAGATGAATACTTGTCTTAAAGTGTTAGATGCAGACTAATATAATGAAATGTGATTTTCTTTTCTTTTTGCTGAATTTGTTTCTTAATATCAAGCTCTTTCAATCAACTGAAGACCTTTGTTTTTATTTCCAGGAACTGACATTACAAGCGACCGATGGAAAATGTTTTCTGTAAGTTGATAAGCTAAGTTTGCGTTAAATATCTCACTTTAAATGAAAGTTTCTCTAACTTTTCCTGGTTGATTGACCTTTCTTTAAAGGTCACATATTATGCAAAATACACTTTATCATGTGTTTCTCACATTAATGTGTCCCTAGCCTGCAAACCCCCCAATTATGAGAAAAATCCATCCTCTCTGTCTTTTGCTTTCTCCACTTTTCAGAAAATGTGTGCTCACACAGGTCGTTTGAAGAGATTCCCTTCATGACATCACAAAGGGCAGTAGCCCCTCCTCCAGGTGGGTGAAACTCCCACAGTGAGGTGTTTGTTCTGCCCTGAGTTTGCCTTTGCACCATAAACAATAGGGCATGGAGCGAGAAAGCACAAGCCATAGCCCCTTCCAGAGAGGGGGCGTGGTCAGACACCGCTCATTTACATATTTAAAGGTACAGACACAGAAACAGCCTGTTCTGAGCAGGGCTGAAATAGAGGGGTTTATAGACATGATCAAATACCGTACCAGAGTGGATTATTAGAAATAAACTTTACAGACATGTTTAAACTGGTTAAAAGTAGTATAATATGTGACCTTAATAGGGAATAAGTGTTTTGTTTTTTTATACCACAGGCTGTGTTATAAAGACTTGAACCATTGTGAATAAAGTTTGTGATAGTTGAGTAGTTCAGAGAATATAATAATGGAGTATCAATCTGAGCAGACCAAATTTGTGTCTGAATTTGACTTACTACCAAGCTTTGATGTTACTTCTCTTATTGTAATGCTTTGGAGTTTATGAATAAAACACACAAACAGGCAACCTACATTTGAACCTTTTTAAACTGAAGTTTATTTTTCCAAAGATGTCATGAACCATCTTCATGAGACAAGTCCTTGAATCAATTGATTTCATCACTAAATACAAATCATTCTACTGCTTGGTCTTCTGCTCCAAGGACATTTCCTTCCCCAAGCACAATCCAAAAAATTTCCATGGCCATCCAGCCCAAAAAAAATCTAGATAAACTGAATTAAGTTGGTAAAAAGTATTTCCCTTTATGCTAATAGATAGGACAGCTTAAAAAAGAACTCCTCTTCTCAATGTCACCAGCTCACGACAACCCACTTTTCTTCTACTTAGCGACACCTTAGCGATACTTAAGATATACTTAACATCACATTTCAATGAAATCTGTTACAATCCACTTCGTCTTAACTTCAAGCACGTTAACAAATCCTCCAATGCCTGTCTGAAGACTTAGGTGTCAAAAAATTGAAAAAATTGTTCTGTTCTTCTCAGTTGTGTGGCCAAAAGATGTGTCAGTACTCTGATGCTAAGAACACCTACTCTAATAATAATAATAAGAAGAAGAAGAATAAACTCACACAAAAAGAGATTGTTAAATGTCTGTTGCAAAAAACTTTAGCTTTTCCCTCTTTATCAAAATATTTCAAAGGTTTAACTGCTGGATACCAGATGCCTCTGTCGTTTTGTTTTTTTGGGGGTTTTTTTTTGCACTCAAGGTTTCAAATTTATACCTAAAATTTGTACAAGCTGCATATTAGAGAATACGCGGACATGCGCAAATCAGGAAAAGATGAATGAACAGTGTTAATCAGTATTCAAAGACACTGCCAGCAATAGGAAAGGAGGAATGTTATTGTGTTGGAGAGTTGTTGCTCTGTTACAAATTAAGCAAATAAAAGCAAATGATCAATTTCGTATTTCACGTTCTGTCTTTATTGTCCTTTGGAGGGTGGGGGGGGAATTCACAAATCAAAATCAAGTTACAGTAACACAGAACACAGAACACAGTCTTTGTGATCACATGCAGAATTTTCTTTCAACATGAAATAGAATGAAATGTAAGAATCAGTTTCATCTTATTTATTAAGAAGAAAGAAACTAAAAATGAGTGAGTGCCTTGACACCGGGGTTACTCCTTTTCATTCTCCTTGAGTTGCTCCCTGGAGTCCTCATTTGAAATCTGCAGAAACGGTGTACTGATCTCACTTGACTGCATGTCACCCGCCACACGCAGCAGGCAGCTCAGGACCATGTCCTTGGCCAGACCGGCTTCCAGGTTCCCCTCCCGACTCAGCTGCAATGTGATCTGATCCAGGCTGGTGAGGACCAGTTCCGAGCCCAGCAGGGGGCAAACAGGGCCTGCGTCATAACCTGAGCCAGGGGTTTTTTCTCTGGCCATGTTCTCCATCAGGTACTGCTGGTACAGATCCAGGATTTTCTGCTCCAGGTAGTGGTTCAGAAGCGAGTTGGAGAACGGACCTTCGCGCCCCTGTAACAAAAAGCTGCGATCACGTGTACTCCCCTGCCTCCAGCGATTCGAGCCCCCTCTCAGTGGGTGCAGAAGGCCGGTCTGAGGCGTCTTCCCAGGGGGAGATTCCTCTACAGCCGGGAGGACGTCACAGGACTGGAGGAAGGGACCGACAGCCTGGGCATCAGTACCAACACGGAGATCACCTTCATTCACTGAAAGAAGCAAAACCTGGTCGCCTCCGATGTGGAGGTCGCTGTAGTTTTGGCAGAAGCTCTGACAGAAAGAGGGGACCAAATAAGGGGAATCAGCACCAGAGCAGGCCTGAGCTGGGATCTCAATCTCTGGAGAGATCTGTCTGCCCTCCCAGGCTCTGTGGAAATCCAAGGACTGCAGCGGAGAAATGTACAACTCCTCTGATGAAGGACCTGTCAGCTCGGGGGAGTCGCGATGAGCGAGTGGAGTGTGTCTGGTGGAGCCCAGTATGAGTGTAGCAGCTGCTCTCGGCAGCCCGTAAGTACTCTGGAGAGTCCGCTGAGGACAGAGGGGATCCAAATCCAATTCCCCGTAGGTCATGCTCAACAGTCTGCCCTCACAAAGCATGGCTGCAACACAGACAAGATACTCAGAAGCTGTTGAGAAACACTGCATAGCATTACTTTACATAGAAAAGAATGCAAATGTTTGCATACGTTCATCTATTCATTTAATGATTATAGAAATACAGGGATTGCTGTTCAAGAAATACTATTCAAAAAGTATAAAACTACACAATACCTCTTAAAACCTACAACGTTTAAAGGTCACATATTATGCAAAATACACTTTATCATGTTTTTCTCACATTAACGTGTCCCTAGCCTGCAAACCCTCCAATTATGAGAGAAGTCCATCCTCTCCGTCTTTTTCCTGCTCCACTTTTCAGAAAATGTGTGCTCAAACAGGCTGTTTGGAGATTTTCCCTTCATGACATCACAAAGGGAAGTAACCCCTCCCCCAGGTGGGTGACCCTCCCACAGCTAGGTGTTTGTTCTGTCCCCTGAGGGTCTTTTTCAAACCGGCCACTACACCCTACCTCTACCCACTACCCCTCCGTTTGCGCGTCCTCGCAGAGGGTCCGCCATATTAAGTACGTCCCAAACCAACTAGTGGGGAGTGGTAGTGGGTTATAAAACCCCAGCGAGTCTGCACCAATGCCAACTTTCGGATCACGTGCAACGCCTATTGTGTCCGGTCGTCATGGAGACAGCAACCTGTGAGTTCAAACACTGCGCCAACTAAGATAGACATTTAATATCCTCATACAGATGTTAACAACTTCAAATGTGTTCTGAGGATTAAATATATGTTCATTTATTGCAAAGTGTTTTATATTTACAGGGACTGTTGCAAAAAACAAAAGAATATGAAATCATGTTGCAGACAACTTTTCACTGTTAATATTTATTTATTATTTTAATACTTTTGAAGTCTTTGTGAAATCTCAATTCAACAACAAAAAAATACACTTTTTGCTGCTCTGATGTTCAACAATAGTCTCCTTGTCTTTGCATTAATTTAGGACACCCTGATCTAAAAATGACAATAACTTAACTGAAATTATAAATTACAATAAACAATGTAGGCTCAATCTAACAGTTTTGTTATGAGTCTACACTAATATAACTAAAGAAGAAGAACAATCTAGGCTACATAAAGATTTTTACAGAATGCATTCGCTACAAAAAAGCTGTTTCCGCAAGATACCCTGAGTAACCATGGTAACAAACAGTTCCTGTTTCCACCTGAGAGAGGGACGTTTTTCCCAAAGCCTGCCGCTGTATTTCTACCCTACACCTTGATGAAGGAGACTTCATTCAGCTGAGAGTGTGACTTCTAACGGAGTGCACTCCGTCACGGAGGAGAGGGTGTAGGGTGTAGGGTTTGGTTTGAAAAAGGGCCATAGTCTGCCTTCCCTCCCTAAACATTTGGGCATGGAGCAAGAAAGCCTGAGCCCTTCCAGAGAGGGGGCGTGGTCAAACACAGCTCATTTGAATTTAAAGGTACAGACACAGAAACAGCCTGTTCTGAGCAGGGCTGATATAGAGGGTGTCTATAGGCATGATATGATACAGGATAGGAGTGGATTTTTAGAAAGAAACTTCACAGACATGTTTTTGGGAGCTCTTAGACTTAATTAAAGTGGTTGAAAAGAAGAAGAATATGTGACCTTGTTAAAGCGTTTTAAAAATACAAAACAGTATCATAGTAAAAGTACTAAAAGTTATTTTTCTGCAGAGAAAAATGTCACATATGATTAATGTATTAGATTGTTTTAAAGCTGGTACAGGGGGAACTAGTTTTAGCTTCTTAAATTACAGTTAGATTGCTTAGTCCAGTGTTTCCAGACCTGGGGTTCGGGGGTCCTTTCAAGAGTCACAAGATAATTCTGAGGGGTCTTGATTAAATGAAAGGAGGAGAGAAGAAAACAAAACGTATGATTTTTTTTAGAACATTTTTTTTTCGGGGTAAAATACTTAGCTTTACTTTTTGAATAAAAACATCTGCACATGTTTTAGAGGAAATGAGGCTTTGTGAGGCTGCATGAAACACACACTAATCTGAAATGTGACAAAGGGCCTAAATGAGGTACTTATTTTTGTGATGCTTGACAAACCAGAAAAGTTTGGAACCACGTTTATAAACTTAAAATATTATTGAATGCACAATATATTGTAATGTTTTATAAACCAAATGTGTCTCTTAGGTGGGTTATAGATGTAGTTTCAAAGAAAAAAGAAGACCTTGAATAAAATACATGCACTTAAAAGTTGTGTGTAGTACTTCATCCATTTCAGCTCTGAAAGGGAGGTATTCTGCATACAGCGCTGATCAATGCTGCATACCACAGCCTTCAGCTAGTTAGTTGTTCCTGTCCCGAAATGGGTCTTTTAATTCATAGGGCCCAAAAACATGCGATAAAAAATGCCATAACTCAAAGACAAACACCCGATCATTCATGACGACATGAAAGAAACCTCTTATGAAGCTGTTGCCACTACATTTTAAATGATCCTTTTCATGATCTATTTTGATTTAGGTGTGTTAGGAGGTCAACACATTGATCCCCCAAACAGAAAAAAAAGCAGAGTTTGAAAGAGAGCAGCTTACCCGACAATCATAAATAAATCATATTCCACTGAAACACACTCTCCCCCTACCTTAGGCTGGAATCGCAGTCTCTCAGTCTGCCTTCACCCTAGGGTGCCTGGTGTCCTTCCACCGTCTTTTCCTGCTTAGAAATATTGCATTTTCTTAGCCAAATAGTCTACAGCGTATTTGCTTCTGGATCTGCAGGAATGAGAGCGTTCATGTGTTAAGGGCGGTTGTCTTTTATCATGCAAAGAGGAAGTGGAAATAACAGGTATCTTCACTTTTACTCGTTTCTGCAAACTTTTAGAGTTGCAGCTGTGCAAACGAAGAAACAATCCAACTGATCATCCTCCTGTGACTGTATCTTACAGATTCGCTGGGCATATTCCCCTCAATTTCCTTTTCTCGTATCTGTCGAACAGCCCACATGAGATTGTTCCTCTGCATTAGTATTTACTCTTGGTGTTGTGGTGCGGTATTCTTAATGCAAAATAAGCTGTAAAATGAAACTACAGACATTTCATTTTCTCTGTAAATGAAACAAATGAGCGATGGCGGTTTAGTTAAAAGCAGAAGTTACATCGAATATGATCAAAATATCAGGAAAGTGAAAGTTTGTCAGATACTGATTCCTGTTTTCGTTTTCTGATGCTCTCTGAGTTAAGTAAACAGGTTGTTTTTTAGCTGTTTTTTGGAGCTTTCCTCCACCTGTTCATGGCACTAAAGCAGAAGTGTGATTTTACTTTGTGCAGCCACAAGTCATAATTTCCTACCATGAAACAATGGCTGCTCTTCATCATGTTTTCATACATGTTTAACTCTGAAACTGACTTTTTCCCAAGACCTTGGAATGATCATTTTCTAGTCATGATTTTGTTATTGCTCCTCGCTTGATTTGAGCTGTGAGCAAAACGTTGGCATTAATCTCTCTCTCCCTGGCAAACCAAGGTGAGATCTAAATCAGATACCTGGTGAGAGTGATGGAAACTTTCAGGCTTTATTTATGGCTCCTCGTCTGCATGTATGACTCGCTCCAGTTAAGCCTCTTGTAATCAGACTTCCTCCTCTTGCAGCGGGGAAGCCCAACAAAAGAGGCCGATGAAACCTGAGAAAACATGTTGTATTATTAATCAGGCGAGAAAAACCTAGACAGAAGTTTACATCATAAAACTTGTCTCGTTCGTTATATTAACCAACCAAATTTACAGTTTTTTCATCTTTTGTTTCTTTTCATATATAGGCGTAATCTTTAACATAGAAGTTGCGGCCACCCATCATATTTTTTAACTAATTATTTTACAAAAAATTTGCTGTCAATTCAAAGCGTAAAGGGATACTTCACCCGTTGAAACATGAATCTGTATTGACATTGGGTCATATATGTAGAAATGTGAAATACATTTTGAAGTTGGTGCCTTCTTGGCCGAGAAAAGGCAGAAAGTGTCTTATTGGCTCATGTGGATGAAAGACACCAAATCCCAGAATGCACAGCACCGCAGGCCACTCCCACTAAGGTCTGAATCAGAATCAGAAATACTTTATTAATCCCAGAGGTAAAACGGACGTTAAGTTTCGATTCTGGGAGTGAGTTCCCACCCACTGATCTGCGATTGGTCTGTAGCTTCAGTGGTTAAAAATATGAAGAACTAGCGTTGTAGTTTCACCCCGCTAACTGCAACAGCTTCCAGTGACGCAAAAATGGTCATTTTGCGTCACTGGAAGCTCCTTTACAGACTCAGAAATACAAAGACTTCACATCTCAGGGGAAAATGAGGGCGGGATGCACGACCATTCAAAAATACTACCAGGTTTCTAATGATACAAAGATTAATGCAAATGGGTGAAGTATCCCTTTAAACATAAGGTTGCTTCATATCCAAAATAAGTAAACCCAAAGGTCAAAGGTTTTCTTTAAGTGATGTCTGTGTTATTTTGGGTCTAATGTGTCAGGATATTTGACACAGCCTTGTAGTAATGGTATCACAAGGTGTAGGGTTACCTGCCCGTTGCTACAGCAGTGTTTCTAGGCAACAAATAGCAACATTAAAAGACATGCTGAGCTCGGGTTAGGTGAGAAAGTTGGACCTGCTGCTTGCTTTTTTGTCGCACAAAGGACCAGTCATTAGGCAATTTCAGCACCCTGGACAGCGGTTCGTGAATATAATCAACACCGGTTCAGCACTTTTAATTTTACTTTTTTTTCTTTGTTCATTTGTTTTGTTTTTGGATGGAAACATTGACCGTCTGTAAAAAAAAAAAGAAATATGGACGGATGCTTCACAGACACTAAGGAGTTTAAGGACACGTCTGTAACCCTGAGAGTTTAGAGGAATGTTCAGAAAGATTAACAATGCGTTTCGTCCCAACCATCAAGGGTCCAAAGGGCTGCAGGGTAATAAAGGTGGTGGAGGAGGAGGTGGTGACAGGCTTCGGTCCGAGCAGGACTACCACAGCGCCTGCACCGTCCGGCTGGTCCGCAGCACCTCCATGCTCGTGGTGGGAGAGAGAACCCAGACGGTCGCGGGCTCGACTCTGAAACGGAGCAAAAGCACCGTGAGCATCGAGTCGACCTTGTACTATTATCAGAGGCAGGAGGACCGGATATGGCTCTACTCACAGAATCAGAACTGCCTCGAGTACCTGGAGGCGCTCGTGGCTTTGAGGCGGCAGTACACAAAGAGCGTGAGTGACTTGAAAAGTGGAGACAGCAAGGCCACGGTGTCCTCCAAGAAGAAGCCTGCGCCCCCGCCGCCTAGGAAGGAAGAACAGGTAGAGTCAGCTGGCAACAGAAGTACACACTTTGTAAGTAGGTGATATTAAATAGTCAAATGTTCTTCCCTTTTTTTTCAAACACAGATATCAAGAGTGAAACCTTCAGCACCTCAAGTCCCGGATGAAGAGGACACCCTGCAGTTCTTCGATGCGGTCATAGCCAGCTGTGACAGCGAGACTCTGAGGAAGCCGTATATGGATGATGGACACGCAGATGTGGACTTCATAGGTGAGTTGGAAATATAATGGGCAAATGAAGGAAATCATTTTAGGCGAGTTATTCAACATTAAGTTCAAAATCAGATCAAATCATTTGTTCTTTTTCCCACTCGGATTCAAGTGTTTGGAGTGTAGCTACACCTTAAAGGCTTTATATGTGATTTTTCACACTTAAATATAATAGAAATCAAGTATATCCTCTGAAAATAACTCTGTGAGTCATGACTGTCTACAATGGGTGTAACACCCGAGTCCCACTGTCTGTGATGTTTTCAGAGTTTTCAGAGTCCTATCTTCACCTTGTTTACATCGCCGGGACGGCCGGCCAACTCCTCCCCTCACGAATAAAAGTTGTTTAATTGAGGGACTAGAGAAAAGAAGAATAACATACTGTACTCACTGCTTAACTGTGTTTCTAGATCACGCTCATTTCAGGTAAATTTACATGCAGTGTGAAGATACCAGCATAATAAAGATCACTAGCATTAGCATGCTAACACAACAATGCAGCGCAAGTTGTTTTGGTTTCATGCTGGTGCTCAAGGGCGACATCTGCTGGATCAAAAAATCACATATAAAGCCTTTAAAAGAAATGCGTATTTGATATTTATTCAGATACTATAAAGTTTAATGTAGCCTATCAAAACTATTTTTGGTAGCCTATAACTAACGTAACATCCTTTCATATAATATGTTGTGAAACAGTAACAGGATGTCAGGCCAAAAAACATCATAGGCCTACCAAATATCCCAAGTTTCCAAATGTAATCAGCCATAGAGACAATAAAGGATGTTTTTATGTATGCATCCAAAAGTTGAAAAAAACATAGTTGAGTTATTTGCATTGTTGAGTTGTTCCACTTTTAAAGAAGCCTACTTTATATTTTGTCTACAATGTTTACCTAAAAGTTGTGGGCACTTTATATATAAAGATATGACATACAAAAAAGGTTCCCACCTGTTCTGTATATGATGAAAGTCCACCTCAACATGATGCATAAAAACTTCAACGCAAAGCATTATAGCCTTTTTAAGGGGTTAATACTTATTGCATTGATCTACTGCAGCATCTTCTGAAATGTCAGAGGTCAAAGATTTAAATTCACTCAAGTAATGAATCTCTTCTGAACATCCATGCTGTACCACACAGGCCTCTTTCTTTACTAACTGAACCTGATTAGTCCTCTTCCTAGGACTGAGTATGTGTGGACAGCTGGACTGACATCTCTGTCATGTACTTAAATGTCAGTTGTGTGCAGCTGTAGTTAGGCTACAGGCAGAATAAAATGACGACTATATCACACTTTTCATTCAGAAGTTACTTGCTAGTTTGCAGTTTCTGTATGTGACATTCAAGTCATAATTTACATTGCTTTATAGGAGGTTTAAAAAAAAGTAGTACTAGTAATAGTTGTGATTTTAAGTGCAGTAGTAGAGAGATGAATCTGGGCCAGCTGCAATATTAAAAAGCTGCTTAAATGTTATTATATCAATAAATCTACAAAAACATAATCTACATAAATCCTTTTACTTGTGATACAATTGCTTCTATAATTCACTAATAACATGTACGCATACATTATATAACTGTTAAACTACTACCTTAGGGCTAGTGCAGTTAAAACTAATTTTAAGACATTTTCAATTCAATTAAATTCAAAAAACTTTATTGTCTATCACATTGTGAAAGAAAATTACCTGTTGTTGAGGCTCAACATGAAAACATACATTAGGTCATAAATAGCTAAAAGTACCTTAAATAGGTAAAAACACATACGCACAGCATTTAAAAAACATTGCTTATCTATAGCTTTGTTTAAACTGCGTATTGCAGTGGGAATAAAAGAGTTTCTGTAGGTTTTCTTTTTCGCCAGTGGTACTCTAAAACGACTGCCTGAGGGGACTTTTGTTTTATAGTACAGCGTTATGTGCATATCATGTAGTCAAGTATTAGTCCAATTTTCTTCCAACACTGGTTTTGATGAGGTAGGTTAAGTTAAGACACATAAAGAAGTGGAGAAGTCAAAAATATGATTGGGCTACTTTTATAAACATTTCTCATTGTCTTTGGGTGACGCTGATATTCTAATCCAACTCAGAGTAATAAACCATAAAACTGTCTTTGAATAGTTTCTATCAGGCTGTGCTCAGGTTGCTTCTCTCTACTTCACAGTGGCGTCCAGCTCGGCCGAACACGACCTCCACTCGAACTGGGTCTTGCGGGTTCCTCGGGTCGCAGAGGACTCAAAGCAGAACGAGGTTCACGACAGTGCCAATAAGAAAGCCACAAAGAAGAAAAACCAGAGCGGGTCTACGAGCAGCAGACTGCGGATGCAGAGGAACCCGATCCATCTGCCCAAAGTGGTGGAGAGCGCGTTCCAGACTCTGCGCTTCAAGCCCAAATTAAAAAAGCAGTGAGGCTTGATAAGACATTTGAAACCGGCAGCACGTTGAGCCTAACCTACTTTGTATGGACAGACACCATGCACTGACACATATCCATCCAGACTGTTTATACTTGCTTTCAAAGTAACAAAAGATTTCAATAAAGCAAATACTGTACAAAGAAACAAGATCTTGTCGACGAAATACGTCCCAAATGGATCTTTTTCACAGCTGATGTTTTTAATTTAATCGTTAGAAAATCACCTGAATGGGGGGCCGGATGCCTAGCTTTTCTTTTTTTTTTTTTTTTAAGATTTATTTTTGGGCTTTTTGTGCCTTTATTTGAGAGATAGGACAGTGGATAGAGTCAGAAACCAGGGAGAGAGAGAGAGTAGGGAATGACATGTGGGAAGGGAGCCACAGGCTGGATTTGAACCTGGGCTGCCTGCTTGGAAGACTACAGCTTCCATACATGGGGCGCGCGCACTAACCACTGTGCCACCAGCGCCCCACAGATGCTTAGCTGTTATGTCGCACGTCCCATATACAGAGGTTATAAGTCCTCGCTGCAGCGGCCGTGGGTTCAAATCTGACCTTTGCCCTTCGCTCCTTTGGGGACATATCATCGCCCGCTCTCTCCTCCCAACATTTTCTGTCTCTTCCACACTGTCTGTTCCAAATAAAGGCAAAAATGGCCAAAACACATCTTTAAAAAAACAGAAACAAAAAAGCACCTGAATCTCCATCTCATCTAGCTGTGAAGCGTCCCAGTAAGTCATGACAGTGTGACACAGAACCAGTATGCACAATACCAGGACACTGAAACAGGAGCAGCTCAAATGGAATTCAGCCATGATGTATTTCATTATTTACACCTGACCGGAATGAGTCACAACATCCAGTATGAAAATATCCAGTCCTTTAGGATATATGTGATTCATACGCATCAATAAGGTTACCTTTTTTATTTTTAGTGTTCAAACTTAAATAAAAAACGGTTGATTTCTTTCTACGTCTCAAACCGAACACAAGTGTTTCTATCAGGTGCAGTTTTGAACTGAACTCAAAAAGGAAACGTCTCATATTGCAAACGGTATGAAATGTTAGTGGAGTAGAGCTGAAGGTTAAGATCTGCACAGACTGCTTTCAGCGACGTATCAAAGCCAACAATAAAATGCATAAGTGTCCTTCGCAGCTTTTTTTTTTTTTTTTTTACCTCCAAGGTAAACATTAAGCAGAGTGCTGCTTGAACGTCTGTATTTAATTTAAAAGGTTTAGGTTCAGATTTGTAAGGCCTTTTGAAGGGCTGAGTCGGCGGGGCAGTTCAAAAGCAGCTTTGGTTATTATTGCAGAAGTTAATACGATATCAAACTCGGAGGGTTCAGCTTATAACAACGTTAACACATCCTGATTTTAACTTTGAGGGTCAAAGGAGGATAATGTGCTGTATGGCAACATTTATATTTATGTCAGTGTTTTTTACTGCAGCTTACATCATTTAATGAAAATAAACCCTGAACCTTTTGCATCCTTGCAGGTAACAGGAAAAAAAACATTTGTAATTTAAGTACGCTCAAGTGGTGGAAGCACTATAAAGACTGACTGAGTAGAAATATGTTGATCTAATTTTACTTAAAGGTAAACCTCCCAGACACTGTTGAACCTGCAAACAAACATTTACTGGCAACGTTTCAGCACTAGACCTTCATCAGGTAAAAAGTTTGTCAAAATGAGCATGACATCTGAAATAGGAAGTGGCTTCAAGCCTGCAAACCAATCACCATTATGACGTTGTAGCCACTTCCTTGTTTTCAGATGTCGTGCCCATTTTGACAAACTTTTTGCCTGATGAAGGTCTAGAGCTGAAATGTTGCCAGTAAAGGTTTGACTGCAAGTTAGGCAGTGTGCAGGAGTTAACTTTTCTGTTTTTGAAGGACACATTGCTCTTATACGCACTCGTCTTGTGAAGTGGATGTGCAACGTTGTTTTTCCATTCCATTTACCAAAAGCCCTGAATTAGATTTATTCTAAACATTTTCACATTTTTTTTTTTTTTGGTTAAATCTTTCCCCTGGATGTCTCAGGTAAACAATATATGTCATATAAATGTGGACAAGTAGAGAATAAACTACATTTCCCTCTGACATGTAGCCATGCAGATGCATAAAAAACATAAAGAACACTATCACAAACACTCATTAGGCTTGAAAAAAAAAAAAAGCTAAATGACTTTTTCTTCATATCTCGTAAACAAAAAAATCACATGTCAAACACATTTTCTTCTCTTTATTACGAATGCGTCATCTACAAACCAGCAGCTGCACAACATTCATTTATTCTCTGCTTTGACCTTGGGGCTGAAGAAGGACGACATGGGCTTCATGCCAGACTTGTCCACCTTGGCCAGAGTTTTCTGAGCGGTAGTCATCTTCTTGGGCGGCTTCAATGAGGAAAGAAAAAGAAAAAAGAAAAAATCAATATGAAAACAGGTTGACTTTGCTCAGAGAAAGCAGAGAATTCATTACATCTAAACTTCAATTTAGGGAGGGAGAAGAAAAGAAAAACACACATTTGTACAAGGTAAGCCACCTTTGACCTCTGTGTGTGTGTTTGCACTGAGACAGACAAAGCTGAGAGAAAGCAGTCAGCAAACAAGAGCTGCACTAACAATCGCTCAAGGTCCTGGAAAAAAAAAAAGACTCCAAGATGAAAGCAAACAACTGATCACCTTGACTATGATGATCAAATCAAGAAGACATGATCAAAGCCAAAGGTTCCTGCAATAACCTGTTCGGTCTATTCAGGCAGACTGCTGTATACACTCACTTTGCGGGTGAAGTCTGCACTGTTGAATTTGGTGTAGTCCTCTCCGGCCTCCACAGGATTGTCTGAAAGTTTTCGCTTCTACCAAAAGAAAGAGAAGCAAACGTTTCACTAGAGACACACACGGCAACGAGCTTTGATCATTAACTCACAAAAAAAAAAGCACAATGGATGGATGGTGGAGGAAAAGAAAGACGCTCACTAGGATTTAAAAGCATGACTAAGGAGAGAATATGACCTGATGAAATGATAACACACCTTTGAAGGGGGTTCTGTCTCTTTTGGGCTTGTGAGCTCCGGTAACCTGTGGAGTATGATAAGAAGAACGCTTGATCTGCTTTAACTTGCATACTTCAACAAAAAACGTACTCAACATCAGAGCTCGCAAACGTGTTAGATGTCACTCACTGCAAGTGTGAGAGGAGGGCTTTGCTCAGGTCTTCACTGATGTACTCTGATATCAGGCCATGGGCGTAGCGTAGGTAGTCCTCTGAATCATGCAGAGGAAAGAAACTCATTGCAGGTAAATCAGCGATACTTTATGTTAAACATACTTTCAGGTTAGGGAAATGTTCTAGGATTCAAACTAAAAGACATGAACTATGACACATGACTGCCATCTACTGGTCAACATCGAATCAAAGCGTGAGAGAGAAAATGGGACTGATGCAGCTGAATTGTTATCTTTGCATAAGAAGGTAAGAGTGGAGTTATATCCCAGTGATTAAAGAGGGCTCGTCTTGAAACAGTGAAGCTGACTGACTCACCTTCATTATAGTCTGACTCGGACTTTACTCTCACATAAGTTGACGATTTGACTCCTTCTCCAACTGAGATATGTCTCTTCTTAAGTGCAGTGACCGTTCTCTCCACCTGCAAGTAAAAGAAACTTTTCAATTCTCCTGTAAAAAAAACAAAAAAAAAAACATTCCAAAACTAGAGATGTAAAAATCCATCGACACGGGTCAATACAGTAGAGTACAATCACCCAGTGTTGTAGTCAAGTCACCAAACCTTGAGTCCCCAGTGCTCAAGTCTGAGTCCTAGTAGTAGTAGTAGTCATTTATTTCGGTCATTTTGACCAAAAGGTGTAGGCTGACAAATCTCATTATTTAAGACACTACTAGTTTGGTTACAAAAAAAAAAAACATATCAGAACAAAATTTGTTCCAAGAATTTCTTTCAAAACAAAACAAATGAAACAAACACAAAACAAAACAGAAGTCACACTCACTAAAAATAATCAAACCAATCTTTTATATTTGCTAAACACCATTTTTTTAAACAAAAATTTAAATCTGGAAAGTGAACGACACAGTCTTAATTCCACGGCATAAGTATTCCACAAGTTAACCCCTTTTACCGAATTACACCTGTTTTTTATGTTTGTCCTTACCTTTGGTTTTTTTATGCACACCTATTCCCCTTAGTTCCCCTTTAGGCTCTCTCTAGTTTCAAAAAACCTCTGAATACTGTTGGGAAGCAAATGATTGCACGCCTTGTAACTATCTGAGCAGTTTTTAGATCTACTAGATCGCTGAATTTTAAAGCGTGTATGTTAGTCCTCAATGTTGAGCGTGAGCCGCGTTCATAGATGGGCTTCAGTTTTTCACTTTAGCACATGAACTTATTGTTTTAATGTTCTCTCTATTATCTGTGAGTCTTCATGTTTATGATGTACCTCAGTCTGAGAGGGGAAGATGTTGTTAAAATAAGGGTCAATGTTGAAAGAGGAGAGAAGATTGGCAACAACAAAACCCAAATCCAGTTCCCTGATGGGGATGACAATGCAAATCGATTAACTTCAGTGGGTGACCAAGAAGGAAGAAGACTGATGGAGGACACAGTGTACAGCACAAGCTCAATACCTCCTCTTGTTTCTCAGACTGACTCCCCAGACAAGTTGGTGATTTGGGGCTCTGAACAGCAATGTATGGAGCCTCAGCTGAGAGAATTTGAGGTTTTGGAGTGCCAGGAGATACATGCATTCTTGGGGAACAGGGATCAGGATGAGGACGAAGACGATGGTGGAAGTTTGAGAGATGGAAAAGACGAGGGTCCCATGTCAATATCCTCCAGCTCAACTGCCAGCTCTGCCTCAACTGGAGCGAGGAGAAATGACAATGACAGCAACAAAGTGGAGGGCAGAATACAGAGGGGCAAAGAGGTGCAGAAAAGGATTGCCTGTCACAGCACCGAAGAGCTAGACACATGTGTGACAGGCTCAATAGAGAGAAAAGACACCAGGTCAGGAAGAGTAGGAAACAGAGAGAGACAAAAGGGAGGTCTGAAGGAGTCCAAGTCAGAGACAAATGTGTTTGTCTCAAGTCTTTCAGCTGTTGCCCTCAGCGGGAGTCTATCAAGTGCGCTTGACACTAGCGTAGAAGCCCATACTTTCATCTCGATGTGCAACTCCAAGAGCAACCTTTATCCCAACACAAACAACACTACCTCAGCCGAGACAAGAAGAAGGGCAGCTCCTGTAGATGCCAACCAGACCTCCCCTCCATTGCATCCTCAGGAGAAGCCTCGCATTCCTCAGTTCTACAGCCAGGATCGAAGACATGAGGAGAAAAGTCTGCAAAGAAATGAATCCTCTTCTGATGTGGGTTTTGGCCAAAGAAGGAAAGCTGGCTTTGAGGAGCGGGTCATGCCACCACGACGGCAGCAGCTTGTCAGACCCCTCTGTCAGACGGAGACAGGAAGTGCAAAGAAATCAGCAGAGCCCAATGACCAACAGGTTGAAACAGGGCCATCTTTTTTCCCAAAACCCACTCTAGATTCACACAGTTGTGAATCTAACAGAAAGTTTACAAAATCCTCTTTACGTGAACCATCCGATTTCTCATCCCTCTACCACGCATCCGGAGTCTTACAGCCTAGACAGCCAAACCCCGCAGTCCAGAGGGAGGCTCGTCCTGTAGAGAAACAGCCAGTTACAACTGCATGGCGGAACTCAAGTCCTGCCAATCCCTCCTCTCTTGAGAAGAGACCCCAGACTCAGCTTACATACAGAAGGAATTGCTCCAGTCCAAACAGGACAGGGGTTGATTCTAGGTCATCGACCCCTCCCCACTCCCCTCTCAGGACACCCCAGGGTTCACCACGCAGGCAATCCTCCATGTACCTCGTTTCCAGGAATGTCCCTGGAGTCGTTCGACACATCCCAGGATGCAACCCTGCTGTAACAACATCAGCTCAGGGCTATGGCAACAGTTGCATGAGAGCACCAGTCAAAACTAACATAAGCACAAGTGGAATCCCAAAAGCGCCTCTTAACAACCAGCAGAGCTCAAGCCCCAAAGAGAGCTCCCCATCACCTAAACTTAAACCGAAAGGAGTTCGGCCCAAAATCATCACTTATGTCCGAAAGAATCCTCAGTTTAAGCCTCAAGCTGCTGATGGACCTTATCAGGTATCCTCTCTACCATCCAGGCTTTCAGCATACACACATGGCCAAACAACCACTTCTTTCAAAGACACCACAAGAGACCCTTCCAAGCCTGAAGCAGAAACCAGAGGACCCCCCGTTCTTAGTGCCTCTAATCTGCTATATGACAAGTACCGCCAAGAGATGCAGACAAGCATCTTCCCATCAGGTGTGCTGAGCAGGAGTATCAGGGCCCCTGGACATACACACACTGTCCCACCTGCACACACTCACAGCCACACAGCACCTCCAAAATTGGGCAGCAAGGCAGACTTCTATGGGGCACCATCAGAGGTCAGTATTATGTACAGTCTTTTTCTAAGTTTAAGTTTGTGATTAAAAGTTATTGTCATTTCCAAACCTATCAACTATTGTCTTGCAATACAGCCTAATTATAAAATTGCTTTCTGGGCTTCCACATGGATTGGATTTTAATGCTTTAAGACTTATTTTCCAAAACGTTTCCTGTTAAACTAGCAAATAGAGGGACAAAGTTGGGTTAAAGAGAGAACATCTTAGATGCTACTTGATGACATTACTCGTACTACAATCAGAATCTTGACCCTAGCTGGGTTTGTGCACAGTCCACAAAGGATTTTCTACGAAGCTGGGCTCTAACACAATCCAAATGGCATTTATAAAGAACTTGCATTCAAAGTGCTTTGCAAGGCTTTTGCCATACTTCTATTCATTCACACATACACTCACACACTACCATGCAGTGTCCTGGCCTGACCTTTTAGCAATTAAGGGTTCAGTGTCTTACCCAAGGACAGTTTGAGTTTGTGGAAAAGACAAATTGGAAATCGGACCACCAACCCTGTCGTCGGTTGAATTACACTACATCATCAGCCCCAGACTCCTCATGTGTGAATCACAGCACATTCACAAAGAAAGTAGCAAGGTCATGTACACAGTTAATGATACAAAATGAGCACAGAGAAAAACATCTTCTGTTACAGTCATTGACACTGCATATCAGTTTTGATGGCTGTTGCCTATAGTTGCAATTTTACAGTAAACCATGTATAATTGATCAAAGATCTGCTGCATATTATTCCCACTCCCAAACGAGCTGCTCATTAACGCTTTAAAATCATCCCTTATTGATTCTGATTAAATAGCTTCATTGAGTATTCATATTCATGCAGCGTCAAAGACCAGAATATGGGAATAAATAGTTAATGCATTTGAAGTAGAAAGCCCACAGGGATTTAAGGATTCTCTCTGCTCTATATGTTACAACATGCATGTTAGCATTTTGTTCGAGGGACAAATCTTGCTCTTGATTTATGGAGTTGATAGTTCCTTTATCTATTTCTTGGTTCCCTTCAGGTCAATGTTAAGTTTATTTTAGTGCTAGAATGTCAGATTTGATGTGTTCCATGTTTCATCAGACTGTTTTTCCACTTTTAATCTGATATGTGTACACACTACATTCATGTAACCATTATTTAAATCAGTTATCAGCTTTTGCAATTAGCATAACATTGAATGCAAGAAGAAAATCTAAAAACGCGAGTGTTTAATTTGCGACTCAAAGTGTTTTACAGTTAAAACTAACACATACATATGTCTTGAAAGTGATAAAGATTTTTGTTGAAGTCTTGCATGATTATAAAACCTCAGATACAGTAGCTAACATGCATGTAGTTCAAATCTTAAAATCTTCTCTAACTTCCATTTACTTTTAACCCACACATGAAATACCTACTATTTCATTTCAGTTTCGGTCAGTTTCCAAGGGTACATTATATACTTACAGAAGGACAAAATCCAGAAATAAGTACAGTGTTATAATGAACACTTATGAGTAGGACTGCACATTTACTCTATGTGTGAGGTCGCCCCTCTATGAGAATTGACATGGTCTCGGGCCATAGAATTTAAAGTTGTTAGTGGTTCACGAGTCTAAAATTCAAAAGACATCAAGCTGATTGTGTTTTTAAATTAATTTAAATGTTTAAATGTCTAGATGGGCAGATCTTCCAGTTTAAAAGGCAGCACTGCTGAGGATGCACTGCAGGCTCGAACAGCCACTCATGCCGGAGGAAGCGGCAGTCTCTTGCGCACTGGCCGGGGTCTGCGTCTGGGTCTCGGAGCCGTCAACAGGGCGGCTACAGGGTCAGCCAAGGGCAGAGGACTAGGTCAAGGTCAGAAATCAAGCCTTGTCATCAGCCAGCCTATCCAGCCTGTCAGCCCAGCGCAGAGTCAGAAAAGCCAAGATAACACAGGTATGAAAACATCTCCTCCATTTTTCTTTTGAGCAGGTTTTCATTTCCTCACAGAAAAAGATGCAGATGGAATCTTTTGAACTACATGTCAGATTTTATTTCGGCAACCCAAAACTTGAAACACTGGAGAGCTACCTTATGTTTCTTCTCTTGTGCTGTGGTGGGACTGTCTCTTCTTCAAATTGGCATGAGATGAAGGCAGCTCATTAAAATGAATATCCTGAGATTTTGCACGCTGATTGGAGGGTTTTTAAGAAAAACTCTGAAGGGACGTTTTCTGTGCCAGAAGGCTGCCATCTACAAAACAAAATGAATAAATAAAAGCTTGCTCATTCTTTCTCCCCACGTACAGCGAATTTATTATTCAGATGATTCAGTTACCATCTCTGACTGCTGAAGTCAGACTTACATTACAGCTCGACTGTCACAGGAACATTAATGTATGAAATTTTCTCATCACCAAGCACACAGCTGGAAAGCCATGCCATTTATCACATCCATGCATATTTGATCTGCCCTCTCACACATAACCCAAAAAACGCACGTACAGAATTGATCCAGCCTAGTGTTATGATGTGCCAAGCTTCTTTATCATAATCCCTATTAATACATATGTATGTTGTCTCAGTGCTGCATGGCCCTCCAGGGTATTACAAGCTTTGAAGTGAAAAGCAATTAACGTTTAAGTTATGTCAGTATCTTCCTGCTGGAATCATCCCTCCTGCCTGCTGCCCTTCATACTGCATGGATAAACACAAGTTAAAATTCTGAATAAACTGCATATACAGCATTAGTCAGCATTGTGTACAGGTGTCTGCTCTTGTGTGTATAAGCTTCATAATTAAGTGTTTTTTGTTTTTTCTGTGGTTGTTTTTTTATCCCTCTCCTGGGGGAATCTGAGCTGTAACCCTTTGTAATGTGCCAATAAGCACTTTATTTCCTCTTTTTCATCACTGTTAATTGTAAAAGCTTTCGTGGAGGGAAATCTCTATCTTGTGTACACATATCACAGTAATTATACTGCTCAGTATTGTAGAGCAGAACTCTAACTACTCACATAATTACTGTGTAGGTTTGAATATCTGCGTTACCATGATAATGAGGTTCATCCACCTACAGTACAGGACGTTTGATAAAGCACTGAAACTTCTGCATATTGAGGCACTCATCTTGACTAGTTCTGCAGAGATTGCAACACACTCCAGTATCACATTTAATAACCTGCAATTTAATGCTTTGTGGAGGAAATCCATGCAGGCTGTAGCAGCTCACCTTGGGCTGCAATTAAAATCGGCTGGTCATTACAGTGCTCATTTGAGTCGCCTGTCCCATTGACTTTTCTCAGCCTAGTTTACATAATTAATTTCCAGTCAGGATGCCTGGTCTTCGGATGAAAGCCTGTGGATGTTTACGTTGTTAGGTTTTGCAAGGGTTGTTCGGAAACTGAATGCAGTGTTTCAGACCTGCAGGCAAAGTTAAGTGGTTTTATTCTAATATTTCCAATAGCTGAAGGGAAACTACGGTAAGTGTATGACCAAAAAAATATCCATGGTTCAATGATGTATGATGCATTTTCAAAGTCACGCTTTCCTATTTAGGTCCTTTTCGAGTGCCACTTTATTATATAGAGGGCATTTTGCATTGCAGGTGCAATTTGTAAAATAGGGAAGTGATAAATGAGGAACACAAAAGAATTAGACTTTTAAAAAAGTTACTTCAAGGCTAAAATAACAGAGAGTGAAACATAAATAGAAAGGACAGTCAGAGCCATATGAATAATTCCATCTCCCTTTTTCATGAGCAGAGGTCCGTGATATCTAGGCTAAAGTGGATGTTTGTCAGGCTCACTTCTCTTCCGGGTCTCTCAGAGGAAGTGATTGGAAAAGGGTTGGGGGCAGGATGGAAATGAGGACATTTATCTTTAATGATCCTGAGTTCTCCCGACCTTCTCACTCAAGAGAGGCGAGCTCCAATCAAAAAAAAAAACGACTGCATGGCGCAAAGGCAGATATTGTTGGGGAGGGAGGAAAGAGGTAATAAGTGTGAACAGCTAAGTTGTACCTGGAGGGGACTTACACAGGAGACTCCTCTCCCTCTTTGTTTTGCTCCAGCAGCAGAGCTCTTGTTCTCCTTCTCAGAGTTTTGTATTTCTTTTGTGTTGGTGTGGTGCTTACCCTGTAGCATGCACTGAAACACAGCTGTGCTAAATAGAGAGAAAAGGAGGACTGCCTACCTTATCTCTGCAGCCAGCAGGGGATAATGCTTTTCTTCTGCCCAGGATCTAAACCTTTTACTGCAGGCAGGGGTAGACAAGATGGGTCTGGGTCCTGGGGATTTTGCACACTGTGTGAATGTGTGTGTGTGTGTGTGTGTGTGTGCAGCTTTCGTTGTTCATGCCTTCACAGTTCATCTGTTTTTTTTTGCTTTTAGATTACGGAGAGGGGGATTTCTACCCATTGCTAGCCGACAATAGCTGCCTCTATGGGGCTATGATTACTTTTTTATCCCCTCTTTTCTAGCTTTGATTCCCTGCCTTTTCTTTCTCTTTGCTTCTCTTTTCTACCTTTCATTAAACCCTTATTTTCTCATTTAATGTCCAGAAAACTGGATAATAGAGCCATAGCTGCAAATCACTTTAATGCATATAATAATGAGGGCTTACCTTTCGTATTATTAACTTCAAATACAAGCTAACACAGTGTAAGCATTGGAAAGATTTATCATCGACTGTATGTCCTGAGTTATTTGTGTCACAGTGAACGTCCTAGCTGTGTTGACGTTGAAGTGCTGGCTGCATGCCCACCGTTAAAACAAGGCCAGAGCCAAAGCAGCTGTTAGCAGCTTGTTGTGTGTGCAGTTATTATATTTGCTTGCTGTAGCAGTCGGAGTCATAACACCGAAAACTTCCTGGTGCCCGCTGAGAGCTTAGTCAACACAGGATGATAAATGATTCATCACATCATGCTGATTTCGCTGCATTTTGTTGGTATGATGGGGTTAATGAGTTTACAGTAGTTACGCAAACACTCACAGTCCATGCAGCGCTGTACACGAACCTGTTAAATATTAAACAATATCCTTTTTTTCTTCGTATTTCCGAACAGATGATGTTTTTACCCATGATGCTCCTGTTCCAGCCACAGCAGCAGCTCAGCCACACCCTTCCACCTCCAGGTCCACGCTTACTAAAACGAGCCAGTCAGGTCTGCGACCCCCGGGCTTCAGCTCCAGCCGCCACCCCGCCGGTCGCTTGGCAGCTTTTGGCTTCGTTAGGAGCTCCAGCGTGTCCTCTGCCACCTCCGCTCACTCGGCCGACAGCACACAGAGCGACCCCTGCAGGACAGCTCACCGTAAGTCCACACGTCACAGATCTGTTGGCGTCATTGTCATTTCATTTTCCAG